GTGAAGCCAAGGATATTAGAGACATCCAAAACTTCGAAGTTTGATGTAGTTGGGAGATGTGCCAAAGAGTTTGAGATATGGTGAAAGGTGGTTTAAAGTTGGTGTAGAAATGTGATTAATGAGGTAGACGGAAGTAGAAAAGACAAAAGGCCAATATGATAGAGACACGGATGCATGGGTAAGGAAAGAAATACTCGTTTCGACAATGTGCCAATGACGACGTCCAGAGTACCCATTGTGTTCAAGAGTGTGAGGTGGAGAAGTGAGATGTGAGACTACATTGATAGTTAAGAATGAAGAGAGTGCTTGATATCCCCCCCATTATCAAAATAGAGAGTTATGATTGGATGGTTAAAGAAATTTTCGACGAGGGCCTTGAAGCGCACAAAGACATCATGTGTGTCAGATTTACGTTTGAGGGGATAAAGTCATATATATTTGGTAAAATGGTCGACAAAGATAACATAGTATTTGAAGTTATCAACAGAGTAGACTGGTGATGTCCATATATCGGTAAATATAACTTCAAGTGGTGAAGAAGTGAAGAGAGTAGAAGTAGAGAATGGTAATTTATGACTTTTATTGCATTGACATGAATTGCAATTAAAATTGAAATTGGAAGGACGAGAGACATCTAAATGAAATGAAGACATAATATTTTTAAAGATTGACAAAGAATGATGACCTAGCCTATGATGCCACTCAGACAAAGTAGTTTTGACACTAGAAAAGACGATTAAGGGTGACTGAGTAGTGGAGAGCGGCCATTCATACACACCATCCTTAGTCCGACCCTAGAAAAGGATTACCCCCCGTGCGAAGATCCTTCACATGAAAAGAAGAGGGTAAGAACTCAATGGAAGTATCGTTGGTTTTGCAAAATTGAGAAATAGAAATAAGATTACGTCTTATGGTGGGAACACGTAAAACATTAGATAGGGAAAATGAGTGAGAGGGAGTGGTAAGAGAGGTGAAACCAGTGTGGGATATAGGGAGTCCAGAGCCATCGCCAATCATAATTTCATCTATGCCATCATAAGGACTGTGGAGGGCAAGATTACTGAGGTCAGTTGTGACATGATGTTAGGCACCACTGTCAAGTAGCCATGTAGTGTTAGAGGGATGGGTGGTGGCAACATTCGCTTGAGCTTGCCTAGAAGACGGTGGTCGATACTGTGATGAGTTGTTAGAAAGATGATGTGGTTGCACATGTGGAAACTGTTGGCGGAACAGAGGACAGCGGGAGACTACATGACCTTGAGTACTACACCATTAGCAGCGACTAAGGATTGGACGAGCAGGAGAACGATTATCTCGAGTGTTGCTGGGAGAACTTCTTGTGATATCTTGAGTGGGTATGGATGTGAAACCAGGGAGTCGAGGAGTCCGATTGGTAGTGGACCATGGAATAGAGCGAACATTGGTGAGATGAGCTGATGCCGGTAAAGGTGAAGGACTTGTCTTGTTGCGGAGTGACAGTTCTTTATTTGATGAGTTTTTCATGGAGTTCATCAAAAGAGATGGTGGAATCACGGCCATTGACAGAATCAATGATAGACTGATAATTTTCATCAAGGCCTTCAAGTACTTTTTTGATTAGATCTTCATGGTCAAGAGGCTTACCGAGAGTGGCAAGTTCGTCGGCCCGCATTTTAATGGACTGCATGTAGTCTATAATAGATTGAGAACCTTTGGTAATATTTTTAAGATGGTCTTTGAGTTCCTTGATATGGCCACGAGATGGGCAAGCATAGGTGTTAGCAAGGACTTGTCAGGCTTCATAGGAGGTTTTAGATTGGGTGATGAGAAGAACTAAAGAGGGTGAAAGAGTGCTGACAAGTGCTCCAAATAATAGTTTGTCTTGACGTAACCATGTCTGGTTTGCAGGGTTAATAGAGATAATATTATTGGCGGCAGTAGTGGGTGGAGGAGCAGGGTAGGATCCATCAATGAATTTTTGTAAGTCGTAGCCTATGAGAATGGCTTCCACTTGGGTCTTCCAGGAAAGATAGTTGACGGGTGTGAGTTTAATGGAGTTATGTATAGTGATCATGGTTAGCGGTTTTGTGGGTACTTGGGCATTGCGGATGATGACTTATTTATTCTCATTGGCCATTGGAAAGAAAAAAAAAAGATGAGAAACCTGCTAGAGATCAAAGAGCAAACCGTTGTTGTGATACAATAAAGAAGATAATAAGAAATATATGGCTTACAGTTCTTATTGATATGGGCAATATATATACAGATCATGTGAGTATAAAAGAAGGAAAATAATTACTAATAAAAATAAATCAAAATAAATTGAGTAACTGCCAGATACTATAGATAATTACAAAGGAATATTCAAAGGTAAAAATCCCTTGATTTTCTCCTTTGACTTTCTCAACTTGATTGTATATTCTTATCAAATCCCTTGATTTTCTCCTTTGACTTTCTCAATTTGATTGTATATCCATATCAGGACCCAGGCGACTATCCTATAAAAATCTAAAATTATCATATATTTTAAATTTTTTATATATTTTTTTATTAAAAATATATTTTCATCATTTTGAAAATTTATAAATTTACGTTTGATTCCCTTAAATTTTATAAATTCAAATTCAATTCCTAAACATAAAATCATATGTCCTTACTGAATCGCTTCGTCTATTATATATAATTTCCTGAACAATGAAAACAAAGTTTCATTCATACATCCTTCCCCAGGAAATGTACAACTGGAGGTGGGACACTCAGTTTTAGCCTTTTCCAAGTCAATGTGCCACCGATCCATTGATTTCTACTATTTGTGTTGTGACAACGCTTCCTTTATTTAAGGTTCTTTCATTTTTTTTTGTTTTTTTATCCTTTCTAGGGTAAATTACATATCTAAATATATAAATTATTAATTTTAATCCGTTTTAGAATTTAAACTATCAATTTTGGTATATTTTAATACATAAACTTTCAAAAAAATTTAAACTTAATGTTAAATTTTGAATGGGGTGCTAAAATGAAACAAAAAACTGAAGTTTTTAAAGGCGGTGTACTAAAATAAAAACTAAATTTTAGTTATGATTTTGAAAAAAATGAAACTTTAGGTACTAAAATAGACTAAAACTGATAATTTAAATAATAAATATGTAATTTACCCTAGTTTCTATTATTTTTCTTGGTACCACTATCGGATCTGGTAGAGATTAGTAATAAGGATTTTTCGAATTAGTTTTATCTATTAACAATATCGGGATTCGAACTTTTGATTTTTATTTAAAGAATTTAATGTTTTTCTTGTTATATCAATCGGCGAATGATTGTTTTATTATGTTATGATTGTATTTAAGTTTAGAAAGGCACAATAATAACTAAAATTTTGAGTAGAATTACATGTAAATACTTAGATGTAAAATTTTGACTAATCATTTGCGAGATTATTTGAATTGAGTGTAAATATTTGAAGAATGATAATATTTTTAGTAGTTTAAAGAAATTATAAGATAACATCCGTTTATTTTTTAAAATTTTTGACAATATTTTCTTTATTATTAAAATCAATTAATGGGTTTTAAAATTGTATTTCTTTATAATTTTTTTTGATTAAGTTAATGTGATTAAAAAGTAGTATATGTTTTAAATATTCTCAACCTTTAGACATGGAAAGCTCATACCCCTGACATCTATAATGTTCAAACTCGAATCCTCAATAAATAACAACAATTTCTTTACCACGGAAGCCACTTAATTCGTGCCATAATATGATATTTAAATACATTCTTAATACAAAAAAGAGAAAACTAAATTATTCACTTATAACTTTATAATTTTTAGAAGACCTAATATCAAAATAAGTGTCCAAACTATATTTCTTTTCTCAAATAGACGCTTAAACTATTTTTTGACTCATCTCGGTGTCTAACGTTACAAACGTAACCCATTTATGTGCTCATGCCGTCAAGGGTATTAATTCATCCGTTAAGTGACATGTGTCACAACATAGTAATTTTAAAAAAAAATTATTTAAAATTAAAAAATTAAAAATATATAAAATTTGTTTTTTTTAAAAGAAAACACAAATTTTGAAATAAACACAAAACTTTGAAAACCTTCATTTCAACCCCTAAACCCACGATGACCGTCGCCTTTTACCATCGACGAAGCTCCACTCGACCTCTCTTTCCCCCGGCAACCAAAATCCTATGAAATCATGATTGATCGATGGTCGATCGACAAAAAATCAACGTTTTATACCCCGCGAACCCTAGGATGAAAATCACGATCCCATGCGATTTCAACGATCAATCGACGGAAACAACGATGATGTATGAGTAGGAAGATGATAGGGACTATGTCAGTGGCAATGGTCGTGGCCGAAAAGGGCGGCGACAGCAGATTAAGGTTAGGATTTGAGATTTTGGGGTTATTTTATAATATAAAAAAAGTTAATTTTTTTTATAAATATCATAATATTTTAATATCTTTTAAAAAATAAATTTTAAAATACCAGATTGTGACATGTGTCACTTAATGAGGGGAAATTGACGATGTTGACGACCTAGACACCTAAATGGGTAACTTTTGAAACGTTAGATACCTGGATGAATCAAAAAATGATTTAGGCACCTATTTAGAAAAAACAGTATTCGGGCACTTATTTTGATAGTAATCCTTTTTTAGAAGATTAAATCACTTACAATATCTTTTTGTTTCAGTTTAATATAAAAATAAATGCCTAAAGAATTTTTTTTATTAAAAATATGTGTCTAAAATTTTATTTGTTAATTTTTTAGATGTCTATCATTAAAAAATATTAAATAACACGTATTTTAAAAAAATATTTTTAAATAATATTTTATTTTTAAAAAATAATCGTGATACGTATACGAAATTTTAAACACATATTTTTAATAACAAAAACTAATATTTTTCGAGATATTCTCAAACAAATATTTTTTATATTTAGCGTTCTGTTCCGTCACATTCTTTTCATCAAGAAAAAATCTTAAAACTGTACTAATAATTTAATAGTACACTGTGATGATGCTTATAAGTACACAAATTCTAGCTTCCTATGTCCATGAAAATCCAAAACCAACCAGAATTTCTCTCAAAGCATCTATTGGGTGCTATAAATTATTTAGATATTTAGGTTTAACTCGGAACTCTGCTTTCTACTGAGTTCAACATCTCTTCTTCGTCGAGTGTTTGAGAGAAAGTTGTGTTTTTTCCAGTGAATAATCAAAGGAAAGTGTTCGATTTTCGTGGGTTGGAAATGTATGCAGAGACCGAGCTGTTTTTCCCTGACATGCAGAACTTTGCTCAAGATTTTGAGCTGTTTGAAGAGTGCTGCAAAACCCAGAAACCCAATGCCTCAATGGTATATATACTCAACATCTCAATCTTTGCTTTTGATTTGTTTTCATTGCTCTGGTTTCCTCTGGGTGATCTCCTTTTGTTTGGTTAGCTCTAGTTATGAAGTGCGTTTCAGCTTTGATTTCCTGTATTTGAAGAATTTGGTGCTCTTTGATGTTTGCTTCAATGGAGAAACTGTTGTTTTCTGGTTCAAATTTCAAGCCTTTGGGTGATTTTCCTTATTGAAATCATCAACTTTTGGGGATCCTTTTAAATTCTAAGGACTAAGATGAACAGTTAAAAGGAAAAAAGGAAGCATTTTGGAAGCTTCAGCCTTCATGTTTATGCCTTTTTGGGTTCTCGTGAATCCCGATTGATTTATTCTCTTAAAGCACTTTCTCAGCAACCAAACAAGGCTGAAATGAAAAAAAAAAGTAATAATATTGAAAATAATCACACGCTGGACCGTAAAAAGAAACCAAACAAATAAATTGTTAGGATATAATTGGAAAATGATACTCAATATCCTGAATTCTTTGTTCTTGAAGATTTCTTTCATTTTCTTCAACTTCTTGGTGTGATTGCTACTAGTAATTTGTTTACTAGATTCTTCGAATTTAACATTTCTGATGATGATGATGGGCAATTCAATTGTAATAGACTTTTCTATAAAAGATGTTAATGAAGCTGTACTCATATGTTGGGTCCGGTAAACTAGCATTGTTATATCCAGTGTTGTAGGGCAAAGCTTTTTTATGGAGTTGACTTCGGCTCGGGTGTCCGAAAGCGAAGTGTGTTTCTTCCATACTGAATCATAGTTTTTACCATTTTTGCTTTCAGCTAAAGATCATATTTAACGGTTAACAATGCTTGTTTCTAATCCTGCCTTTTTATCTCTTCTTGCATAATGTAGAAAGAACTGGTTCAGACCTCCGCAGCTGAATATAACCTTGAAGAGGAAGTTGATATGTTCAGAGCTCTAGATCCGATCATCGAAGAACCAATTGTTGGCCTTGATCCCATGACTGCAGCCATGTGCGGTGAAGATGTCATTACTTCAGAAGGACTTAAGGCCGCAGATATCGAATCATTTCCAAATGAGCAACTTCTAGATGTTCTCTGTGAGTACGAGAAGGATCTAATGGCAAACGCAGCAATACAAGCGCCACTGGCTGCGGTTCTGGATTTTGAGACTCCTGTTGTGGAGATAGATGAAAACCTAAATCAAGAAAATGAATTGCTTGGCGATGCATCGTTCCAGAAAAGGGTGAGCTCGGGTGGTTTAAGTTCAATGGGATCTCTGCAAGGGGCTGCAATCAAGCCTAATTTTCTGGATTTCCCCGTAATGGATTTCGGTTCTGTTTATACGATGAGGAGAGCATTTAGTGAAGGAGATATCAAGGTCAGCCTAATTTTGCATATGTGTTAGAATTGTTTGTTTAGATTTGTTTCGATAACTGATGCACCGGATTTGAGAATGTTAAAGTCTCTTCCTTGATTGCTCGGACCTTGTCTAATTAAAGGAGGAACTCACCTTCCTTGCTGTTCGGTTTTCAGCTTCTGCCGTGTTTCTCCGATGGAAGCTGAAAACTAACCTAAGGATAAACCCTTTTCAGATCACACCAAGAAGATGTGGCCTGCTTTGCAATTAAACTATATAGTATGTAAAAATGCTAATGTGATTCAGCTGCTGGTAATGTGACAGACACTTGATGATACTGAGTTTTTATGACAGACACTCGGCAACGGTAATCTGAGCGGCGTCATCCATTCTCCCGTCGAGCAGCCATTAACCGTCAGCAGCTGTTCTACTGAAGATCGAAGGGAAAAGCTCTCTAGATACAGGAACAAGAAGACCAAGAGGAACTTCAGAAGGAAAATCAAGGTAGAAAATAAAGTTGTTCCCATTCCGGTCGATTCCATCGATTGCTTTAACTTGTTGCTTGTGCTTAGCTTTTAACATCGAACTAGACGACTAACATTTGGCAAGACGTCTATAACGAAAGCTCAATGATATGGGTTTCTTCACTTAGTATGCTTGCAGGAAAGCTCTTGCCGACAGTCAACCGAGGATACACGGAAGGTTCGCAAAGATCGAAGAATCCGATAACTCCAAGAGGAAATTGCTGTTGAGTAATTAAACAACCGCCAAGTAAAATCCGAATGAGGTTGCTAGGTCCGACGAGGTAACGGAAAACAACGAGCAGTAGTATCCTTTGCGGAATCCGTAGACGGGTAATTCGGAATAAGCCATATAAACGAGCTCTTGAGTAGTAGTTTCACTTTATCTTTGTTTTGCTGTAATAAGCTCCTTTGCTAGGATGTATATAGCGTTTGTTCAAATCATATGGCAAAGCAAAATTTTGTACCTTTCCATATATGTAGTATAAAAACTATGTTCTCCCCCATCTCCTGTTTGCCAATTATACATATATATACGGATACGGATATGATCCATTTATATTGTGTAAAAATCATTAGTTTTACACAAAAAATATAGTAATTAAATTAATCTAAACGGTCAATCTAAATAGATGGTTGAGATTAAAACACGACACAAATACGACATATTCAATAAATGGATCCACTTACAATCCCTCCTATGGCTATGGTGTTAGTCCCAAAGGTTTGATTTGAATTTTGCAAGAAACTGAAATCTTCACCTTTGTTAGGTTATGTGTGGACTTGAAAATGGATCAAAAACCTAGCTTGACTATGTTTTTTTATAGTAAAATCATTGATATATGATTTTATTAAAGGGTAAAGTACACAAATAATCTTTTGATTATAATATATTATTTTATTAAGTCCCTTAGTTATTAAAAGTTATAAAATGGTCTTATGACTATAAAGTGTTGCTTTGTTGAGTCCCTCGACTATTAAAAATTATAAAATGGTCACCCAATTATTCATTATGTTCTAAACTCGTCTTATTCTGTTAAAAAGTTGATGGTATTCTGAGCTGAACGTTAACTTGTTGACTGTGATATGATAAAATATGATCACAGAACCTCAAACGACTATTATATCCTAGTCATCATGTTAACATCCAAATTAGACAACCGTTGATTTTTTAACGAAAAATTACGAGTTTGTAACATAATGAATAGTCGAAAAACTATTTTATGTTAAATAGTCAGTGAACTTAACAAAAAAATATTTTATAATCAGATGGTCCTTTTATAACTTTAATAATTGAGAGATTTAATAAAGTAATATTCTATAATTAGAGTACGATTTGTGTACTTCAATTAACTGATAATTGATCGAGTTAAAGTCAATTTTTTAACTTTTTCAATTTTTTTTTAAGAATGTCAATATTTAAACTTTTGTGCTACAAAACTAGGGACACGTCATTGCTTATCATGGTCATGGACGCTACCTGAGCATGCGGTCTTTCTAATTTAGGCAAGTAATTTAGATTGTTGGACAAAGAGGTCCAGACCGTGTACCCGAAAAAAAGGAAAGCCCTAAATATCTAGGATCCTGGCATGTTTAATTACTTGAAGAAGCCTAAAAAGATAGAATTCACGCGGACGTGTCGAAGACACGTATTACCACGACTACGACCCGACCCGATCCGAGACGGGACGGCGGCGGCGCGCGAGAGTCCCCTTGTTCTCTATCACTCAACAAGGAAGTGGGAAAGCCAAGCCTTAAATACAATTCACAATAGTGTTTCCAATACTATGTGGGATTGAGCATTACCAACACTTGTTTCCAATACCATTACCTTCATTGTTGTAAGAGTTTAATTTTGAAACTAAAAAAATATTTATTAGAATAAATAACTTACCCTTTGAGGATTTTGATCATAAATGAAGTAATTGCTAAAACTAACTCTGATTCGGGTTCTTATAGTGTTCAAATGACTTACTTGCAAAGAGTAGATGATGACCAAACAACTCGATATGTTTCCTCTGTGTCATTATCAGCTAGTTTTCGTAGCATCCTCAGTTGAAAACTTCCATCATTGTCTCCTTTACATTTGTTTGGTTAATATTTTTCTTCCATCAAAGTCCTCAAAGGGTAAGTTATTTATTCGAATAATATTTTTTTAGTTTTAAAATTAAACTCTTACAGACAATGAAGGTAATGGTATTGGAAACAAGTGTTGTTAATGCTCAATCCCAAATAGTATTGGAAACACTATTGGGAATGGTATTTAAAGCTTGGCTTTCCCACTTCCTTGTTGAGTGATAGAGAATAAGGGGGACTCGCGCGCCGCCGCCGCCGTACCGTCTCGGGTCGTAGTCGTGGTCGTGGTCGTGCTAATACGTGTCTTCGACACGTCCGCGCGAATTCTATCTTTTTAGAGAAAATTCTTAAGAAACAAATGCAATATTTGGACTATCGCAACGAATTTGGAATGAATCGCAACGCGAACTTCGCCTATCGCAACGAATTGGAATGAATCGCAACACGAACTTCTCTTATCGCAACGAATTGGAATGAATCGCAACGCGAACTTCGCCTATCACAACGATTTGGAATGAATCGCAACGCGAACTTCGACTATCGCAACGATTTGGAATGAATCGTAACGCGAACTTTGTCTATCGCAACGAATTTGGAATAAATCGCAATGCGAACTTCGACTATCGCGTTGCGAATCTGAAAACTGATTTGCAATATCGGAGATCGCACTGCAAATTATCGATCGCATTACGATTTACTTGGTCATTTTGACAAATCCAAAAAAAATTAATCAAAATCGTATATTACAAGACATTTTCGGTCACTGAGATTATTTTCTCTAAAAGAAAACCAACGCATTCCCAGCTCCTCATCAATTCCTGTTTCGACTCAAACTGGTCATAGTTTACTGTTCATTTTTCCCACCCAAGTTTTCTCATTATAAATAGCATGTTATTCTTACACGACATAGAGAGTTTATGAAGAATCTGTCCTGTTCTTAAAAACTCTGGTAAATAAGTTCAACATAACAATGATTTCCGATCACCGGACCAGGCTGCCTAGATCTCATTTGCAGACAAGTTTTTCAAAACGAAACATGATCGTCGGTATCATTCGGGTTATCTACCCGTCCATGATCAAACAAAACGAAATTTTCATGCATGACTGCTTCCCGCCACCGATTGGATGAACCCCATCGCATCATATTCACCATTTCAAGCAAAATCCCAGAGTTCATATGGTGGCACAACGTATCAGAGACCCAAATTCCCAGAGTTATATTTTGATACATAAACCAATTTCAGGGCTTGGTGGAAGTCTAGAACTACAGATTTGACACAAACACTAAAAACCCAATCTGAAAACAATTCCCAAGTTTCTTGGAACCATCCCTCTAAGCTGAAAATATCAGAGAAAAAAAGGAAAAGTTTTTAACTTTATGATGTTACTTACTAGCCATAACCAGAGCCAAAGTCTATTTGCTTAGGCAGTCTTCTTTATGTAGGTTCCACGAGTAAACTGTGTCGTAACCGGTTTTCGTCTGGATACGAATTTTTACTTGGCGGAAAAAATAATGTAAATACAAAATAATTAAGAAAATGGTTTGGGAGTCGTCATCGGCCTTTTGGGTCAGGTAGGTCGAATACCTAAAAATTACCTTTTAAAAGAGCTTTTTAAGAAAACATCAGTTAAAAGATAAACTGATTTGCGTTTAACCAAAAATTCGTTCTTTTTAGTACCCCTACAACACCCAAATTTTGTACTTATTAATTATAAATTGTCTCTATTATTGAAAATTTAAAAGTTTAAAAATATATTTAATCTATAATTCTGTTAAGTTTATTAATATAATTTTAAGATAATATATTAATATATATATATTATTAAACAATATATTTATTTATTTAGAAATATCAGAAAAGGGCTTCTAGGTGCTTTAAGACAGCTCATTTCTTAATATTAAAATAAATAAATAAATTTTAATAGAAAATAATATAAAAACATATTTATATATTAAAATATTTATTTTTTTATTTAAAAATATCAGAAAATGGACATCCAGTTGCTTTAAGACTGTCCTTTCTTAATATTGATAAATATATATTAAAATATTATTGAAATGATTTAAAAATAATATATTAAATTTATAAATAGTAATTTCATAAAATAGATGAATATTATTTATATATATTTATAAGACTAAATAAATATTATTTATATATATATTGACATAACTAATAAATAATAATAGTAATAGTAATGATAATTAAATATAAACATAAATATATAAAAGTAACATATGATTAAACAATGTTTAAAATAAATAAAATTAAAACATAGTATTAAAATGTAAAGCTTGTAAAATAAATGAAAATATTAATCTTAGGGACTAGATTATAATCTAATAAAATTAAATACCTAATTTATAATTAATTATTTAAAACTACAGGGATTAGACATACTATTTTTCATTTATTTAATTTAGTGACTAAATTATAATTATATTAAATTCGAATATTAAATTAAAAAAAATTAAAACACACTTTCTGGATTAAAATATTAATTATTAAAATTAAAGGACTAAATCTGTCATTTACCTATTTATATAAACATATTAGTGACTAAATTATAAAGTAAATAAAATTAGAAGACCAAATTAAAACGTTTAGAATTTGATTTTAGTGACTAAAATGGAATGTTACAAAGCTAATGGATTGCGGAGGGGATTTGGCCAAATGCAAAATTATGAATATACCCCTCCCCAAAATGGTGTCGTTTGGGAAGGGGTATAAATTCCCCATACGACTGGCCCGAAGGGCCAGTATTCTCATTTCTCTTCTTTCTCTTCTCTCTCTAACTGAGAGAGAAGAAAACTCTCTCGCATCTCTCTAGGATTCCCTCACCGGAGGGAATCCGACGTCGATCACCGTCACCGATCTCGCCGCCGGCCACCGTCGCTGGTGGTCGAAAAACACCAAAACTTCTCAAAACGTAGATCAAACCCTTCTAAAGATGATTCCAGTGTCCTTTTTTCTTAAATAGCTACCGATCAGAGCAAATCTAGGAAAATACCTTCGGTTTTTGAAGGTTTTTGATGACGTGTCGAGACTGGTATGAACTCCGGTGAAGGCGTGGCTTCCTCGGTAAGTATCTCTCCGTCTTTTCCTTGCTATTCGTGGTTGCTGGGTTACTTTCTTTTCTCTCTGTGTGTTCTCCTCTGCTGTGTGTATCTCTCTCTGTCGCTCTCACTTTCCGTGGCTGTCTCTTGTCTTTTTTTTTGCAGGTGGTCGATGGCTTTTATAGCCATCGACGGTGTTGCTCTCGGACCGGTCCCAAATGGTGACCCTAGGTGAATCACC